GAATGACAAAGGGGTGCCAGTTCTTTACATAGCACAGGATCCTATCAATGAGAATTAAGTGTAAGCTACTGATCCCAATGAGGCATCCTACTTAATAGCACATCAGTTTTGTCAGGGTTTTACCCATACACAGTTCTTTAAGTTGTACATCAGTTGTTCGCACACTTGTACTCATAGAGGTGTTGTGACAATGCTTTGTACATAGACTCATTAGCAGTAAATCCCACTGGCAGGTGTAGTAGAGGCTGATAAATCATCTTTTGGTGTGACATTGTGCCAATATACAGTCTCCATTATCGAGCATTGCTTTCATGCAGCAATTCATTTGATGCTACAATGAAATTGTTCAACTATTCCATTGCCAAAGGGAATGTATGTATACTCTTCCAAAATCTCTTTAAACAGTTTACTGTGGAATGTGGTGTCATTATCAGTGAGTATTTCAGCATGAGAGACCCTGTTCCAAAAAATAGGGCTTTTAAATTGTGATCATGCTGGCTGAATCCTGCCAATGCAGTTGTCACCAACTGGTGATTCAAGTGCGACCACAGTCTATTAGAGTCAAGTAATGCCTGTCATCATAATGAGTAATGTCCATCTCCACCCAAGTCCATACATCATCAACATCCAATTTTTCTCTTGCCCATTGTGCCAGTGATGAGTCAATTGACAGACATTCTTGGCTACTGTCTTGACTGCTGCTTTCAAAACTGCAGGATTAATCTGCCTTGCAAAGTACAGAGTCCGTCTGATGCTGAGGTGTCCACTTTGACAAGGTACAGACTGTATCTGGTCAGAGCCACACTTACTCACCGATGTTGCACAGATACATTTCATGGGTTCTCTCTTTCCTTATTGTATCAAGCCATCTGTGACACTCACCAGCTTGTCTGCTTGGTTAGGGTTAGATTTTACCAATATTATGCTCACAGATAAGTTATACTTATTGACTAACTTTTCTAATGAGCTGAGACATGTCCAAATGAGCATCTCTGTTGAAGCCATAGTGTGTATCTTAGCCTTTCATGAGAGAAAGTCAGATTTCCACCTATGAGCACATGCAGATTGTGTTCAATTTATTGAATCTATTCAATAGATTCAACACAATCTATTCATATTATTTGTAGATAGGCTTTCCAAAGATCAAGCACAGAGACATTGGGCTCTTTCCTCCTCCACCATTCTTTAAATTTTTCTGCTCGGTGTGAGCAATGTATGCATCAACATGTCCATTTAGTTCCTAGTAATTCAACACAATGCAATCCGTTTCTTTTGCACCACTACCATTAATCTCTTGGGGGATTAAGTTTTCCTCGAGGAAAAGTATCAGCCATCCATTTTCCAGCCATGTCTGTATTTCATATTGATATTCACTCTTGGTCTGCTTAGGCACTGGTGGTTGTCCATCCAACCAATTCCATGGTGCAGTTCAAATCCTGGTGTGTTGGTTGAACTTTGCAGTAAAGTCGTAAATCCAAAAGGCATGAAATAGTATAATCAAAAATTAGAATCAGGTCTGAGACACAACAAAATAAAAATTCAACTTATAGATCCTAATACAGCGACCCCACTCTCATTCAGTAACAACAAAAATACACTGTTCCTTGTCAAGAAAAGCAATGGCTTTTGAGGAAGTAAATTTTGGGATTAGTCGCAATAGTTGGAGAGAGTTGTAAGCAGCTGGACCGATCAGCTTAAGGCCAGCACTAAATGTATAAGAACTAATGAAGATTGACCTCTGGTCAAAAAGTAAAGTATAGACAACAAGAAATCCATTGCTTTCTTTCAGGAATATTTAAAAAGCAGTACTTTGCCAGTATTTTTTTCTTATGATAAATAAAAATGTAATGTTTTTTTTTGGTGAATAAGACATATAATGTCTCTCCAATGTAAGCAAGCATCGTTATATAAAATATCAACATAAATTCAATAATCAAAATTGAATGTGACGCCATTAAAATATCTTCATAAGGGAAGTCAGTGATTTTTTTTCAAAATTTTGTGAAATAATTTCAATGTTTCATATTTTGGATAAATATATTTTGGAGTTTTATATACTTGAACAGACATATATGTATATCTATATAAATCTTATTTATATACAATATATATATATATATATATATATATATATATATATATATATATGAAGAAAAATATACGGAAAAAACAAACAAAAATCCTAATATGCAATTATGCTGTTTTAATGTTAATATGATCACGTCGGCGTCACACCTCAGTAATTTAAACAATGCTTTAGTTGTACACACAACTAAATCTGATCATACTTTCAATTTTGATTCTGTGAAGATTTTAAAATATATTCATAATAAAAATCTTAGACGGATTTATGAGGCAGGCATAATATCTATCTCACGCACAGTGAATACTAGATCCGGCTTCTTTAATATTTCCCCTTTTCTAGCAAGATTAATGGTCGACAAACGTACATATAAGTTCTAGATTAAAATAAAATTCTTTTCATTTTTCATTCAAAATACTCTATTTTAGGAATACGTTTTCACAACATCGCCCACATGACGCCGACGTGATCATATTGTGAAACGGAACGTTGATCTTGAAAAATTTCAGTTATGTTTTGATTAGTCTTACTCTTATGTCCATCGTCTTTTCATGTTGAATTAAATATAGTCTAATGTTAATTATGTTTTATGAATATGTCCTGAAGATGGTCTACTAGACCGAAACGTCCAACGTTGACATTATATTAACATTAAAACAGCATAATTGCATATTAAGATTTTTGTTTGTTTTTTTTTCGTATATTTTTCTTCATACTGTCGGATCTATATCCATATATTTGCTTATATATTATATATATATATATATATATATATATATATATATATATATATATATATATATATATATATATATTATAAGGATTTAACTTTACACCCAGTTTAGATGTCTTTCCAAATGGTCAAAAAAGAAATGCATAATCGGAAACTAAATGTTAATTATGTATATGTTGAAGCTTGGATAAGCATGGAATAATAATAATACAACACAAAATGTACGTAAACAAAATGTATTGAAACAAGGAAAAGGTACACAATATTTACAGTTAGTTTTGGTGTATTCTTGGGAAGACTGTTCCTGTAGAATGGGTTGACTTAATCGCAGTCGGGCAGAGTCTCTCGATTCGATCTCTTCTTCCCGGTACCAACCCATATTTATATGGTCGGTCCTCCACTATGTAAATTAGGTGGATCGTACCACAACAGTATATATGCTAACCTTTGTCAAGACTGACAAAGAGTGTAACAACTTTTTACAGATATTACAGGTGGGTGATAGTTATGGGAGAGTGGTGTTCCCAAGTAAGTATATAAGTCCATTATAATGAAAATAACTTTTGCCATGTGGTTTATACATTACATAATCTGAATACACAAGCTATATTTGCAATGGATTCTTTTAACTCACTTTAAATAACAAATGGTTTCATTTCTTTTATAACCTGGGCACACATATGCTAAAATAAAAAAAAAATAAATACATTTTTAAAAATCAAAACTATTTTAGCTACTGAGATATTATTACATCTCTTCAATCTTGGAATATAAAAACATCATTTAAAAAAATATAAGAAACTGGAAATTTTCTTGTGACATGTTTCAAAAAAGATCATACAACTTTGGTCACAAAATGCTATTTCACAAATATGCAATAATATTCATTAAAGTTCAATGCTAATGAATGTGTATACCTTTATCTGTAAAAAGGTTAGTCTGACTGAATTCACATCCAAGAATGTGAAGTTACTTGTCTGATAAATACAAGAAATACTTCATTCAACGTGACAGACTAGACTAAAATTTGTTGTGATGAAAACCACATTCTTGTTTTATGTACAATGTCAGTTCTTCAAAGACTGGCATTATCTTAACCACTATTTGGTTAAATAGTTGATGATCTGACTGAAAATAAGAGAAATGAGCAAAAATACCTGGCTCATCATCTTTAATTATGCAAATATATCACAATATTAAGAATTCTAGAATTACTATTATTCTCATGTTGGCAATGTATGTCTGCAAGGGTAGATAAGATTAAGAATATATTTCATAATTCCCACTTGTCAATATTCAAGCCAGACTTTTCAAGGCAAAGTGAAGCAAACTTTCATCACTTAGTCTTTAATTGGCGGATTGCACAACGTCCTCTCCAAAAATTCATTTTATTTTTTTTTAAACTTGTGTTTTACCATGATTTTGACGAAACTAAAAACTTAGTAAAATACAAAAAAAAAAATCAAAAAATTACTGTATGTGTGTGTGTACGCTAAATTAAATCATATGGAGCAACAAACAAAAATAAACCTTTTTGAAAGATTTTCTTTAAATGCCTGGTTAGTTTTTTTTTTTTTTTTTTTTTTTTAAAGAAGCAGATGCCACCCAGGTATATGAAAGTTTTAGGTACCAATGGGTTCTATCAAGTACGTAAGCATGCATGTTTACTTACCTTGAAACTCAGGTGATACCGCTGTCGGCGTTCTTACTTTTTCATTTTCCATGATTTTTAACGCAGAGTAAAAAAAAAGGAAAACAATTTCCCAATTTCTGCTTTTATTTTTTAAAAATCTTTTCGTTTTTTTTTTTTAACCTACCCCGCTTTTTCTAATTTTTTAAAATTGTATTTAAAAAAAAATTTTCAGTTCTTTTGTAGTCCGCTCGTTGCGTTTGTCAAACAAATTTAATTCTCCAAAAAAGAATCATGATTCCGATTTGTTGACGATCAACACAACAGAAGAATTATGATTTCTATTTCTACACCGAAAGAACACAAATGTAGAATTACATCGCTATATCAACGTAACAGCTATTCTTGTGATCTTGTTTTCCAAGAAATTGTTATGGCCTTCCTTTTCCTTTTTCCTCCCCTTATGGACCTTGCTGGAGACAAGGTAAAAACTATATGAAAGGTGATCAAGAGACAAAATGATTTTTAGGTTTGTGTAGTAAGTTTGTTAGTTACTAGGGGGAGGCTCGGGTAGTGGAAGTTTGTTGTTGGGGTAGCAGAGATAGAGAGAAAAAAACAAAACAAATGTTAATAGAAAAAGCTTTACAAATCGGAAAAAGAGAGGAGAGTAAATTTAGAATAAACTTTAATAATTAAAGTTTATCCTAAATTTACTCTCCTCTCTTTTTCGGATTTTTTTCTACCTAACAAAATTTTAAATTAGGTAGGAAAAAAAACGAAGTTGGGAACACTTGGTCTTGGATGAAACAGAAAAAGAAAGAGACGAGGAAGAAAAAATAGAGAAATATTAGAAGTTAAAAGAGAAAAATAGAGAAAGAAAGGTGTGAAAATGCAGAGAAAAGGGAGAAACAAGAAAGAAAATAGAAACAGGTTTAAAAGGTGGAGGAATAGTAATATTTAAAAAAGAAAATAAACACTCAACAAGTCAACATTGACAACTCAACAACAGTAAGGAGTGAAATATCACTAAGAGAGCTAAAGTAAGAGAAGGAGTGATTCGACAGAAGAAAAAGAATGAAGATTAAAATATGAAGAAGAGGAATGAAGAAAGAAAAGAAAGTAAGAATAAAACTAAGAGAGAAGAAAAGAAACTTATGAAAATGAAAGAAAGGTGAGTGGGCAAACGAAAAAAGAGGAAAGTAATTTGTTAGAAAAATAGTGGTGAGTGGGACCACTATGTGACTATTTGTACACAAAAATGAATATAGGTAATTAGGATGTAGTAGGAAAAAAAACGAAAAATTACATAGTCGAATGATCTTGTTCATTTAAAAAAGAGAAAGATCGAAACAAATCAATTCATTCAGAGGGTGGTGGAATGTGATCATGTTGGGAGAAGAAGGTTTCTAACAATAACACTTCATACACATTGGCAGTAGCCATGGAGTTTTCTGCTTTATAAACAATACACAAGAACTGCCAAGGTTACACAACTTACACCTTCTTATCTCTTAAAAATCCTTGCATCCAAAAAATTATTGAATTACTTTTTCTTTGTTCAGAAGGATCGAGACCACAATATATTTTAATCATTTTTAAACTTTTCTTCTAGTATTCAATAAGAATTAAAAAAATAATTGACAGTACTTATTGACAGAAAATTATTAATCATTTCATTTATTTAACAAACTTTATTGCATTGAGAGAAGTAATGAAAGAAACCGAAACTTCAAACACTTAGTTTAGCGAGTCTTGCACAAAAGCGGGCCATTTAATCATAATCATTACATTTATTTTTATATTGGATTTAAATTTTGAATACAATATAAACAAGTTAATATTAAGAATATTAATTCGCTAGGGTTATGTAGGGAGTTCGAACCTTCCACTCACTAACTTTTTTGACAGAACCGAATATTGGCGAATCAGGATTGTGTTCCATGTCGTTTTTAAAATATTCCTATTTCATTAGGCGACGACTTTTTTTTGTTATTTAACTTAGGAATTTTTTTACAAACAACTTGCATGATTGGCAAAAACAATTTTTACACTTGTCAATAAGAGTTTTTTTTTTTTTAGGGAAGTAAAATTTATTAGCAAGTTATTGTCCATAAAAAATACGATTATTTTTAACTAGGCCATTTGGTTCCATGAATTATACTAAAAATTGGTTTTGCCTATCGGTATATATTTGATCAGAGTATCCCAAACCTACACTGCTTGTCGACCTCTGCCTTCGGGCAAAGGACCCAGACGAGGCTGTGCCGAAAGGCAAACTCTCAACTGGGGAAGTAGACAGCTACCCGACCCCGTTAATACGAGGTCTATGGCGAATTTTTGCCGGAGCCTACGAGCTCGGAACGCCCCACATAAAAAAAAACGGCCTTGTGGGAAGGACTGGGTAAAAATAAATACCGATTCATAGATCACGTCTCCAGACTTACTTTTTTTTTTTTCACCGACTGTCCCAAAATCAAAAGATTTTATTCACATTATTTAACAGAAAATAGATTTGTATTGTTCACATAATAAAATACTTTATAAAAATGATTTTTATTTTTTACAATTAATTAGAAAAATATTTCAAAGTTAAAACTTGTATTGTTCATTATAAATAATTTTTACAGTTGATTTCTATTATGGAATTGACATTAATTCCATTTATAATTTTACGCGCGCGCGTGTTTTTCCCCTACCTTTCACTCACAGATAAACATAGCAGTAACCTACTTTGAGCTCCTACTGATTTGGACTCATAACAGATTTTTGAATTTTCCCGCGCGTTTCGCGGCGTTTCAAACATCCAACGTTTGCAATCCAGTTTGCCTCTTAGCTTCAACCGGACTGGATGGGCAACTCATTTATTCCGTGCACTTAACCCATACGCGGGCCGGAATATCTTATTTTTCAACAATGTCGACTGCACCCTCTACCAAGACTTTTCTCCTTTTGAAGCTGCCAACAGGTCGGACCTTTTTCTCCGTTTTCTACCAGAAGACGTTTTAGAGACACACGACACTGTCGTGAGCAAAGTTCGTATTCAACTAATGGCGTATTTTATCCCTCGTCAGGGGCCTAATAAGTATAGGCAGGATGTCCTACTGAACGAACAAATTGCTAATCACAGGTCAGGACCTTTTCTCCGTTTTCTACCAGAAGACGTTTTTTAGAGACACACGACACTGTCGTCGGCAGAAACTTCGTGTTCAAAAGGTGACTTAAACTTACCCCTGGCTTCGAACCAAATAATACAGGCAGGGATAGTATTACCTTTGAACGAAAACATTTTCGTCTTTCTTTTGGGCTCATGTAAACCATTCTACAAGACCATGCTTCGTCTCTCCCTCGGCTAGATGTCCACAGCAGTCCAGAACATTTACCAGCGTTCAATTCAATATTTACCGAACATTCTTTATAACTTTGAACCTGTACATTAAAAAATATGCATAATCACTTACAACTTAAAATATCCACAGTGAGTACTCCTTTCATCTGTGCGCACCTTCTTTTCCGGAACTGTATAGAACTTTCTTTTCCCCGCCTTTTGGCCATCTTGTATTTCTATTTTGGCGCGGAACACTTTTCATTGATTCCTACCTTGAGTTAAGTTACTTGTTACTGTTTGATTAAAGTTTACTCATGTTTTTTATAAACAGATGTCTTTGGCATTTTTATTCCGGCTATCATAATATATTTTATTTTATGCACTTGTTGATTGACCCCTTTCCTCTCACTGTTCATTCACGCATATTTTTATTTTTTTTTTACTTTGCTTGTAGACTCGGTAGTTTAGTGTGGTGTCTGGCACAAGGCCACTCAGTATAATCCAGCACTACACCCTACCGGGTCCGCAACACTATATTGTTCATATAAATGATTTTTTTAACTGTTGATTAGAAAAAATATTTCAGCAAAAATAGATTTGTATTGCATTCTTCATTAAACTCTTCATGGAACTGATTCGCATGTTATGACGCAGGCCCCTTAGAATTGACTCCGATCTTTCCTCCTCTACTCAGGACTTTACATTTCTTTATCTTCGTTGTAGATCAACATATTTTTTTTCTCTTTGGGCGGTTTTCCAATTGAATTTCTCGCAAGTACGAATCAGAGAATTTTCTTCTTTTTCATGTGTCTTTATAAGTTTCCAAGTAGATGGACGTTGGTATTTAACAAGGTGATAAAACTTGTTCGAGCCTTCACACAAGTTATATTGGTTTTTGGATTGTTATCCAATGTAGCTTGATGAATGTTCCAAATCTGTGGCGGAAATTTTGCTGGAATGCACCGTAGGGTTAGACGGGGTATACTTGCCTGGGGGCTGAATCTTCTTTGGGCATATGTACCAGAGACATATTTTTGATCGAAATAATCTAGCAGTGGAACTAGCTCTTCGGGACATTTACCCTTGAGCAGTTGCATTCCTGCTGGAACGTCTCCGGTCGAAAAATAAAATAATATTTTAAAGTGTTTCGACCAATAAAAATGCTTCCCTCCTAATTATACTCGCGTCGTTTTTCGAGCCTGTAAAGCCATAAAAAAACGCCATAAAAGGGGTCACACGGAAGTACAACAGCAGTCAACAGGAGCCAGGGAAGAGACCTGTCACGGTCAGGCTTAACGGTCAGCAGCAGCCAGCAGCAGTAGCGCCACGCCAACCAGCGAGAACTACTATGAGAGATCAACCCAGATCTTTAGCCGGCCTATGAACTATACCACAAGGTAGCTGTCTCAAAACCACATGTTCCTATTGAAATAAATCACGTAAATCTATTTCTACTGTTGTCGCATTTCTTTCTTGCAATCATACGCTTAAGTCAGGCCTAGATTTTGTATTTTCCTCCAAGTGCTCTGTGTCAGGTGATAAAAGCAACCCTGGGTAACTGTGTGTGGTCCAAAAACGCAGTTGATGGCTTGCCAGTTCAAAATCAACACTGATTGTTGTTGTTGGGTTTGGATACAACCCAATCTCATGGTAGTGGTCAACAACCACTTGCAGCAGAATTTCGTAGATATCTTGAGATTTGTCCTGCAGTAAGGTGAAAAAAAAACAGTAGAAGCTGCAGTATTTGCAAGTTGTGCCCGTATTACGCATAGTTGTCTAAGTCCTGATGGCGCCATTGAGAAATTGCCATCCATCACCCATGTATGCATGATGCCAATAGCCTGAGGAATTCCTTGGAACCGAAAGCAATGATTCGGTTGGGCCCGTTGCCAAAAAAAAAAAAAAAAGGAAAGAAAAGAAAGAAAGAAAAGAAGAAATGGCTACGGTTGAGTCCCCAAAATACTTCACCCCACCCCCTCCAATTACTGGGTCTTCCAGTCTTTCTGTTATTGGTGGATAGTTTTTCTTTGATTCCTCAAAGTTCTTTTTAATAGTGTGGCGGCCTTCACCACATTTATTTAACTTAGATTAGGAAACCAAACTGACGTGAAGAAAAAGAGGATAAGCCAAATACATCATTACACATAAAATTTGTATTTAACAAGATGTACAAACAAGGATGTGAAAGAAAAGCATGCATTGAGTAAAACAAGGGTTGTCTCTCTTTAACTATCAGCTGTTCCAAAGTTCACTGAAAGCAATAAGGTTGTAATAGTTTCTGGTAATAAATGTTTTTGCTGTGTAAGAATAAAGATGATGTGAGTATAGGGAATATTCAGCATGTGAGTGGTATGAGTGAGAAGATTGGCGCATGGTTTCAACTGTCGTGGATTTCTGTGGCAGCTGAGAACTCACTGGTTTACTAAGAATTTTCTTTGCTTATATAGGTGATCATCGACTCCAAAAGCGCTGCGCGGGGAGAATCACTCTTCACGTGCAGACGATCTGATTGGTTGACATTGACCGATCAGCGAGTGAGCTTTGAGGAGACTCACGAAAAGTTTCTGGGATCCGATTCTCCCAAAAGTTCACGAAATCGACTATATGAAAATATAGCTATTATAAAATTGTCGCATTATCCAATGAATGTTTGTTGTTGTCGTTGTGATATACTTATAATTCTTTTGTATTCATTCATTTAATACCTTCTACTTATCTGCATACGAACTGTTGTGTGATTTCGCGTTGGTTCACGTCACGTGATCTTGTATTTATAAATAACGGTGGGACGCCTCTTTCTTTCTCTCTGGCGTCCGTTCGTCCATATCTTCTATGTAACTGGTAACTATGTATGCTTTTTTTATGTTGAATAAAGCCATAATATTCAACTTTCTAAAAAGGTCTCTTTTCATTACAATTTATTCAACATAAAAAAAATGGATACCATTCTGAGACCCGGTCGATTTTGAGGGATCGTCAGAGACGACCGCTGATGAATGGAATCACTGGTACCGTACCCTTGTCAATTGCATCGACTCTCTGAGAGTAGCTCACCCTGACAACCCTCCTAACAAGCTCAGCATACTAATTAATTATATATCACCTAGAGTCTATTCCCTGATATCAAACTGCACGTCATTCGAGAACGCCATTAGTATTCTTCAATCTACTTATGTCAAACCAGTTAATTCTGTATTTGCTCGTCATCTGCTCGCCACTAGAGAACAACAGGCAGGTGAATCTATTGATCAATTCCTTCTAACTTTAAAAAAATCTTTCCAAGGATTGCAAATTTGAAGACGTCACTGCTTCTCAGCATGCCGAACAAGCAATAAGGATGCTTTTATCACAGGCCCTCACTTCCCCAGTGATACGACAGAGACTATTAAGCTGTGAAATTAATTTGGATAATGCGGTAGCAACCGCGAGAAGTCTCAAAATGGCCCAACACAATGCCGCAGCTTATGCCACTTCGTCAGTTGTAGCAAAAGCATCAATTTATCCAGAAGAATCTAGAAATAATTCTACAGATGAATTAACTAAAGAATTTGCTGCTGCTACCAGAACTAATCAAGCAGTTCGTTACGCCAAATGTCAATTCTGCGGGCGTGAGAATCATTCTCGATACAATTGCCCAGCAAGAAATTCTGTCTTTCGTGTGGGAAAAGAGGCCACTTCTCCAAAGTCTGCCGGTCTAAAAGAAGAGCAACTTCACCTAATATGAAAACCAGCACTGCTTTTATTGCTCTCACAGCTTCATCCCAATGCACACCCCGCACACAATGCTCCATAGTAGTTGCAACTATAAACAACACTCGTCTGAAAGCCATGGTAGACAGCGGAAGCACTCATAATTTCATAAAGTTGAACATCATGAAATCACTTGGCCTTCCTATACTACCTTCCAGTGACACAGTAAGTATGGCTTCCTCTAATCTCACGAGCAAAACCCAAGGTCACTGTATTGCATCTATCGCAATTAATGGACAAACATACCCTGATATGCATCTGTCTGTTCTGCCCAACTTATGGACTCCTGTCACACTTGGACAAGAATTCATGCAACTACACAACCGCGTGGAATTCCTTTTTAACGGAGATATACCTCCTTTACAAATCTGTAACACCGCCCAGATGAAAATAGAGCCACCTGCCCTTTTTGCCAATTTATCAGATGACTGTAAGCCAATTGCAACAAAGAGCAGGAATTACGCTGCATCTGATCGCGAATTTATTCGGAACGAAGTACAGAAGCTCTTAAAAGAAGGGATAATAATTAACTCTAATTCCCCATGGCGAGCCCAATTCTTGGTGACGCATTATGAAAGGCATAAGCGTCGCATGGTCATTGACTATTCTGCCACTATCAATCGCTATACTTTTTTCGATGCATTCCCTCTTCAAAAAATTTCAAACATTATACGTCATCTATCTCAATATAAGATTTTCAACAAGTTAGATTTGAAGTCTGCATATCACCAATGCCCTATCTATGAGGAGGAAAAAATTTATACAGCCTTCGAAGCTGACGGAGGCCAGTACGAATTTTCTCGGTTACCCTTTGGATTAACAAACTCTGTAGCTGTATTCCAATGTATCATGCATAATATAATCTGAGAACACGAACTTAAAGGTACCTTCGCCTATATTGATGACATTGTCATCGGGAGAAAGACAAATAAAGAATTGAATGAAAATATGAGGGGCATTCAAAGAAGTTGCTGATCGTCTCAATTTGCAACTGAACCCTGATAAATGTGAGTATGGCATCACCAAACTTAAGTTTCTAGGGCACCTGTTGGAGAATGGAGCAATCAGTCCTGACCCAGACAGACTTACACCACTCAAAGAACTACCGACTCCGAACTGTGGTAAGCCACTCAAACGAGCTCTGGGTCTCTTCTCATAATAATCACCATGGGTGGAGAATTTCTCTGATCGCATTTCGCCTTTGCTAAATATCTCCTCATTTCCTATTGCCGAAGAACTCAAGAGTCAATTTCAGGCAAGAAAAGATGAAATTTGCAAGGCTTCGGTTGCGGCTATTGAAGATGAAATTCCATTAACAATAGAAACGGATGCATCTGTGACGGCATTGGCAGCCTGCCTCTCTCAGAATGGACGCCCAGTAGCATATTTTTCTAGAACTCTTACGCAATCTGAGCGTCGACACTCAGCAGTGGAGCGTGAATCGGCAGCCATTGTAGAATCTGTTCGTAAATGGCGTGATCTTTTACTCGGTCGATATTTTACTATCGTTACAGACCAACAGGCCGCCTCATATATGTTCAACACACGGGCACCAAACCGTATTAAAAGCGATAAGCTACCTCGATGGAGACTTGAACTTTCTAACTACTCTTATGATATTGTATACCGACCAGGTTCATTTCATAGCTCTGCAGATACCTTTTCCCGTTCATGCTCTGCTTCGTGTTTATTATCTCTAAAAGATCTTCACGCAGCACCAGGAGTGGCGAGACTGTATCATTTTGTTAAACATAAGAATCTGCCTTTCTCTATGGAAGATGTTAAACATATCTGTGCTGAATGCCAAATATGTGCTGAACTAAAAACAAGGTTTTTCAGACTCCCCCCCTGGTCGCTTAATCCATTCTCGATCCCCTTTTGAATGCCTTTGCTATTGATTTCATGGGCCCAGAACCATCAACAAATAGTTTTAAATATCTACTCGTGATCGTAGATGAATACTCGCGCTATCCTTTCGTCTATCCATGCCAAGACATCTCAACAGGAACTGTAATAAAATGTCTCCTAAATCTCTTTACCTTCTTTGGCTGCCCAGATTCAATCCATAGTGACCGAGGGAGCCAGTTCGTATCATCTGAACTGAAAGAGTTTCTCTGGCAACATAGCGTTGTAATTACCCACTGAACACCATACCATCCAATCGGCAACGGACAATACGAAAGGGTAAACGGAACAATATGGAAAACGATCAAACTTGCACTCAAGACGAGGCAACTGGATGAACGCCATTGGCAAGCTGTACTCTACATTGCTCTGCACTCAATTCGATCTCTCCTTTACACAGCAACTAACACAGCACCACATGAAAGATTGTTCAATTTTTCGAGAAGGTCGGGTACCGGATACACCCTACCTGAATGGTTGCAAGGAGGTCCGGCGCTGCCAGTCGACAGTCTCAACAGAAGACCTTGCCCCCACTTCTGTTACTGTCCCATCGTTTGTAGATTCGGATTCTCCTGTCTTCACCGATCCCTGTGAGTCATTGAGTTCTACTCCATCAAATAACAATGAACCGGAAATGTCTACTGACCAACAAGAAACCATAACAAATGGTGAATCCTCCACTTCAGTTGGCGAAACGAGGTCTCGGGATTTAGAACAGCAACAGCGGTCGCACTTAGAGAAGGATGCTCTGGGATTTCTTCCCGAATCATCAAGACGAGAAACGAAAGATCATCCATAACCCGAAGTATCAATAAAATGTAGCGGAGAGTGTTGTGATATACTTATAATTCTTTTGTATTCATTCATTTAATACCTTTTACTTATCTGCATACGAACTGTTGTGTGATTTCGCGTTGGTTCACGTCACGTGATCTTGTGTTTATAAATAACGGTGGGACGCCTCTTTCTTCCTCTCTGGCGTCCGTTCGTCCATATCTATGTAACTGGTAACTATGTATGCTTTTTTTATGTTGAATAAAACCTTAATATTCAACTTTCTAAAAAGGTCTCTTTTCATTAGAGTTGTATGATTTGAATTTGCATAAGTATGTATGTATGTGTGTGATGATGATGATCGTCACAATACCCCCCCCCCCCCGAGATTAAAGAAATTATAACAAAATTCTTTGTCACGTAGGAACGATGCTTAGAAGGCCAATGCACCCTCCTACCTGTTTTGGTAAACAGTGGTTCTGATCGTGAAGTGGACTGCTGACTTTGGTTTGACGATGATGATTCAGGTTGCTGCGGAATGTTGGATTGCTGTCGATCTGGATGGAGCTGTTTGGCGGCTTGCTCAAGACATGCCGGCTTCAAACGGTCGACAGAAATGGTCGACCGGCCGTTGTATGTCTGAATGGTAAAATACTTGGTTGTCATGAAAGTACTTTAAAAGGTCCGGAGTAATTAGAAGTTAGCGTTTTGGGTGGGGGTTTACTGCGTCTTGTCTAACGAGTCGCAGTCTTGTAAAGATTTGGGAAAATAAATCTCCTTAGGGTGTACTCGTGTAGGAGTGAAGTTGGTTCTATAGAAGTGTTTCTGTCTAGAAATTGACCTGGTAACGTGATCGATGTACCAAAAACAAGATCTGCAGGAGTGCACTGAAGATCTTCCTTCAGTAGGGTTCGTAATAACTAATGGTAATTTCTCCAACCAAGTTTGGGCAGTGTCAGAACTTGTTAATGCAGCCTTAAGTTGACGATGGAACCTTTAGACAAGGCCATTTGCACAGAGGTGATATGCAGTTGTCGAGATGTGAGTAGCTCCAAGCAAGTTCACGAACTCCTTGAATAAAGTTGGCTGGAACTGTGGACCATGGTCTGTCGTTATGACCGAAGGGCAGCCGAAAATGGAAATCCATTCCCGCAATATTGCCTTAGCAACAGATTCTGCCGTGGTGGACTGAAGGGGTATAGCTACTGGCCAGCGGATGAATCTGTCAATTATCGTTAAGATATATTGATAGCCGTGAATTTCGGATAATGAACCCACCAGGTCCGCATGAAGATGCTGAAAGCGGCCATCACGTTCTGCGAAGAGTTCTGGGGGTGATTTAACATGTCGATGTATCTTAGTTCGCTGGCATCTGACACAAGTCTGAATCTAGCGTTTAATGTCAGAACTCATTCTAGGCCATACGAAACGTTCACCGATTAACTTTGTTGTAATCCGCCGTCCAGGATACAATAGTGAATGGAAGTGGTCAAATGTCTGTCTTCTCATGAAAGAAGGAACCAAAGGTTGGGGATGACCTGTACTGGTGTCACATAATAAATACTTACTGCTGAAGGTCACGGGACGTGGCTCAATCCGTAATGATGTATTTGCCTTTAGGTCTGACAGAGTGTCGTCCCTTCGTTGTTCATCAACCAGTGTTTCAAAATTCAATGGTTGTTTGGTATACATATTAATAATAGTAGCACACGAGAGCGTATCAGCAACAGTATTATGATTCCCTTGTATTTGTTGAATATCCGTCGTAAATTGGGAAATATAGTCCAGCTGTCGATAATCACGGGGATTATATTTGTTACTCTTAGCATGTAAAGCGTAAATAAGAGGTTTGTGATTCGTAAAAACGGTGAAATTGCGTCCTTCCAAAAGATAACGAAAGTGTTTGATGGCTGTATAAATAGCTAATAGCTCACGCGAAAAAGTGCTGTATTTTTTGGGGGCGGGGGAGTAAGTTTCACAGAGAAAAATGAAAGTGACTTAGTTACCTCGCCTGTATGTTGATGTAATACAGCTCCGATTGCTTCTGAAGAAACGTCGGTCGTAAGTGTGTTTTATCGTCTTGTTGAAGATAAGTAAGTTTGGTGAAATTCGCTAGGGCGTCCTTAGCTTGATTGAATGCAGTGAGAGTTTCACTATTGAGTGTAATTTTGGCGTTGCGTTTCCACTGGTTCCGGAGTTGATTTGTCAGGGGTGCCAGTATGTGTGAACATTTAGGGATAAACTGACGATAGTAATTGATTAATCCTAAGAATCTGCGAAGCTGTCGAAGTGTTGTCGGCAGTGGAAAATCCTGTACTACTTTTACTTTATCGGCGACGGGTGTAATGCCAGTACTGTCTATCTCATGTCCGAGAAAAACTAGCTTGGGTACAGCAAATACATTTATCAGGGTTAATTTTACGACCAAAGTGGTTGAGTCGCTCGAAAACTTGAGTTACATGATCTATGTGTTTGTTTATGTCTTTGCTAGCTATGAGGCGAACGAATGTGGTAATCCGCGAAGGGCTTCGTCTATTAGCCGCTGGAAAGATTGTGCAGCGTTCCGTAGTCCGAAGGGCATTCGCAAAAACTCGTACAAACTGAAAGTGTAGTTATTGCAGTTTTATGAATGTCTTCAGGAGCTACCGGAACTTGGTAAAATGCTTTCAAGGGTCGAGCTTCGTAAATATCTGAGCACTTTGAAGCGTTACTGCAAAGTCTGCTAGGTTCGGTACAGGGTATTTATCCGGCACAGTCTGTGCGTTAAGACGTCGAAAATCTCCACAGGGTTTCCACTCTCCTGATTGTGTCTTAGGTACTATATGGAGTGGGGAAGTGAAGGGGCTGGATGACGGTCGTACGATGCCGAGGTCTAACATGTGTTGAAATTCAGCCTTCGCTAGTTTGTACTTATCCGGGCTTAGTCTGCGAGGGGATGAAAAAACAGGAGGTCCGGATGTCTGAATCCGATGTAAAATGTTATGTTTGACGGACTCCGTATAAGTGAAAGGTGTTGTAAGAGCAGGGAATTTATCTAAGACGTGCTGTAGTGGGCACAGATCTTAGTGGATGTATATGTGGAAATCATGCCTGTAAGTGTTAGTTGCGTCGTCTGGTCGTGGTTAGACATGTCCACGGCGAGCTTGTAGTGGGCTAAGAGGTCGGCTCCGAGGATAGGAAATTTCACCTGTGCGACGGTGAACAACCACGGAAATGATCATCTTAAACCTATGTTGACTGTGAGAGAGATTTGACCATATGTCTCAATCTTGGTACCGTTTGCTACACGCAAGGTATATGCTGATTCGCCTGTTGTGGTGTTAGCTCTGGGTGGGACTACACTGACATGGGCTCCAGTGTCCACCAAAAATAACTCGCCTGAGTTAGTATCCTTAACAAAAAAAAAAGACGGTTTACTCGATTTCCCCCAACAGCAGACGCAGTGTTCATGCGCTGTTGGGGACGCCTTTTCCTGCTTGTTTTTTTAGTAGTAGATTTTGGTTGACCGTTGAAATGGCAAAGTTTTGCACAATGTCTCGCTGCTTTTGGAGGTACGAGCAAATTCAGTGATTGGTTTACTCCTAGTGTTCGAGTTAGTTCCGCTATGGTGTCGAGACTTGTATGCGTTGTATGCTGGACGCGTACGCACTCTACTCAATTTGTCGATCTGCTGCTGCATTTTCTTTAGTGTATCGTCACGTGGTGTGGTGTGCTGTCCGCAGTGGAAATATGAGTGCTGTTAAGAGTCCTTGTCAGCGGCGGAAGTTTTGCTGGAAGACACTGTAGGGTTAGACAGGGTATACTTGCCTAGAGGCTGAATCTTCTTTGGGAATATGTACCAGAGACATATTTTTGATCGAAATAATCTAGCAGTGGAACTGCCTCTTCAGGACATTTACCTATGAACAGTTGCATTCCTCCTGAACCGTCTCCTACTGGAAGGAAAAACAATCAATCTCTCCGTAGAATTATCTGAAGTAATTTTCTTTGTAGAGATAAGTCAGGCCTAGATTTTGTATTTTCCTCCAAGTGCTCTGTGTCAGGTGATAAAAGCAACCCTGGGTAACTGTGTGTGGTCCAAAAACGCAGTTGATGGCTTGCCAGTTCAAAATCAACACTGATTGTTGTTGTTGGGTTTGGATACAACCCAATCTCATGGTAGTGGTCAACAACCACTTGCAGCAGAATTTCGTAGATATCTTGAGATTTGTCCTGCAGTAAGGTGAAAAAAAAACAGTAGAAGCTGCAGTATTTGCAAGTTGTGCTCGTATTACGCATAGTTGTCTAAGTCCTGATGGCGCCATTGAGAAATTGCCATCCATCACCCATGGTATGCATGATGCCAATAGCCTTGGAACCGAAAGCAATGATTCGGTTGGGCCCGTTATCAAAAAAAAAAAAAAAAAAAAAAAAAAAAGAAGAAATGGCTTCGGTTGAGTCCCCAAAGTACTTCTCCACCCCCCCCTCCAATAACTGGGTCTTCCAGTCTTTTTTCTTTGATTCCTCAAAGTTCTTTTAATAGTGTGGCGGCCTTCACCACATTTATTTAAATTAGATTAAGAAACTAAACTGACGTGAAGAAAAAGTGCACGAAATCGACAACATGAAAATATAGCGATTATAAAATTGTCGCATTATACAGTAGTGTTGATTTACTATCCAATGAATGTTTGTTGTTATATAATTTGAATTGGCATAAGTAATTATGTATGTGTGTGATGATGATGATCGTCACAGTAGTGCCCTCACTTGGTAGTAGTAAACTCATGGCTTCATTTGACATTCATTGAGATTATTGTTATAAATTTGTGACGGTAGTTCTTCTGATATTGCTGATTTGGTTTTCATCTTTATTATGGCCTTTTTCGCTGAAATAGCAGCACCATCGGAGGCAGGATTGTGGTCGACTGTTAAAAATGGTTCTGTCACTTCAAGACTTGTAACAATTGCTCCTCTGCAATAATTGTCCCTCTTTAACACACCTCCATATTATTTTTTGGATATGTTTTGTGTACTGTACATGTATCATTCTAAGGCAATAATGTCTTTCTTTTTCTCTTTCAGTGTGTAATACTTCCATATTGTAGAAATAATTCAATAAAAGGTTATAACAATAATAATAATTAATAATAAATAAAAAAAATAAACGTTTATTTTCAGTTGAAACAAAGCTTGACAAACTTTATAAAATATTTCAAATAATTATGGTAAATAGTAATTGCAAATAGATAGCTTCTTTGTTGTTATTATTCTCGGAATTTAACATTTTGCAAAATTTTACACAGCGAAAATAAATTTTGTGAATCGATACAATAATAATTTTTTAAATTTTTGAACTAGGTACCTCCACTTTTTCGAGGGAAAACAGCATAGCGTAATGAAAAAGGCCACAAACTTAATAAAAACAAAGTTTTATCGTCAAAATGTTTATGTTATTATTAAGATGAAAGACCAAAGTATTTTTTGATTATTTTTTAAAATTTGTTTAAAATTTAAACAATGAGTGCACATCAGAAAGTGTGTAAATAAGAATGGAATCTATTTGTTCTGAAAACATTTATTGTCTACTGACAATGAACAAGAGCTGAAAGAGATAGAAACACAATAGTAAGAATTACATCAAACATAGTAATCCTCTGGTAAGAGAAAGACATAATTGTAAGAATTACATGAAACATGGTAATCCTATATCTCCCCCCCAAGTCTTTGCGTGTATGTCAACGTAAGTGTCAAGTAGGACATTCTCAAAGACTGATACTTCGAAAGGTTCATAAACATTAGATGTGAGGTTAAGGAGACTAAATAAGGGGAGAGGCGGAATACCATAGGCGTTTATATCGGACGTTATGGTAGAGTCCAATTGTCAGAGGATACATCGTGAACAGAGCATATGGTATATATGCAGGGACACCGAATCAGAAGTCAGGTGAAGTCTGAACTGTCATAATATAGTCTTTGAACCATTCGGCGCGTGTTTATCGCGGCCTGATCTTCTTGGCGTGTTCAACATACGTGGGGAGTATGGGGTTGTCTCTAGACTAGAGGGATTGGACTGATGCTCGGGACGGCGATACAGTGGTAACAAAACTCAAGTCTCCGTCAAACGTCGACTTTTCTCTGTCAGGTGAAGCGGTTTCTAGCACTGTTGGTGTGTTCCGCGGCGTTTGTGATACTTTTGGGCAAGAGGGTCAGAAGCGATAGGGTTCTTGGGTTCTGTGAGTTGGGTTGATGTTGTTGTGACGTTATTCGAGACAAGTGTCGGCGTCAAAGTAGGAACCGCATTACGTATACGAATGTCATTATCGATTGTCAGCTTTGAGGAAGGGAGTTGCACTGGGACATACTTCCGTAAGAATTTTCTATTCCGGAGTGTCACTCTTCTCGATCCGTCAACGCTTATCACGTATTGGTCGAACTTCGATGACTATCCCAGTTTTATCCCATTTGCGTGCATACGGTCCAACTTGGTTTTGAATCGGCACATGATCACCGACGACTAGTGGTTGCAGCCGTTTGATATGCTCCGATAATCTCTCAGCACACCTCATGTGGCGGTTCCGCAGGGCCTCTTCACGTGCTTTCCATGTGCTGCGCCACGTTTCATGAGGTCTATAATTTCCCGGGATTATGGGTATGAAGTCTCGAATAGGACGGCCAAAGATGCACATCGCCGGAGATAATTTTGTGTCTCTGTCCGGTGTGTTCCTATACTGCAGCATTGCACGTTGGAATGAGTCCGTGTCACTGGTTCCGGAGGGACCTGTATTGTCCATAAGATGGCGCTTTACTGTCTTAACGCCGAGCTTTGCTCTGCAGTTGCTGTGAGAGAATGCTACTGAGGATAACCTCTGATGAACACCCCAATCAGCTAGAAACTGTCGAGTAATGGTAGCAGTAAACTGCCCTCTGTCAGAGGCCAGCTCAACGGGTATGCTATAAGTTACAAAAGTACGTCTGAGGCAGGAGATGAATCCGAGAGTCCCATCTGAGGACCTTTCAACTATTGGCCAGTTGGAATAACGATCTACGATAACTAAGTAGTGGTTTCCTTTGTATGTGAAAAAATCAGCACAGAGACACTGGAAAGGGTATTCCGGGCTCGTTGAAAGGACTGGTGGAGCGCTAGGAATAGATGGTGCGTTGCGATTGCATTGCAGGCAGCTAGCACGGAGTGCTGCAATAGCAGGCGTTATACCTGGCCAGAATACAGATGATTCTGCCCTAGCGATCATAGAGGTTACTCCTTGATGAGCTGAATGTAAGGCGCAAAGCACTTCGTCTCGCAGGGATGGTGGGATAACGATGCGGTCTTTATAAACTATGACGCCGTCTATATTAGACAGATCATCGCGGAACTGAAAATACTCGCGAATGGAGTTTGGCATTTCATGGCGGAATTCTGACATGCCAGATCTATGAGCTCAGTCAATACTAGCATATCTTCGTCGCTGGCAGTGGCAGTGCGCACTCTGTCCCATGTGACTGACTTGAGGTTTAATGCATTTAGTGATGTGGTAGCGGCTGCAATCACACACTCCTTGATATCACTGTCAGTGGTGTCGTACACCCTAAGGTCAGGCAGTGATTGGGTCGAGTGTCGGAAAGCGTCATGGTTCGAGGCAATCAATGCCAGGTCATCCGTCAAAATGAGTTTCACAGGTTCGCCTGTCGGATAGCGTGATAGGGAGTCAGTGGCACGATGTTTCACTCCGGGGATATGTACCATTTTAAACTTGTAGCGTAATGTCTTCTTTTGAGATTTCGTAAGCGCGTGTTTGAGATATCCTCAAGGGATCGGTCGAGCATTACTCTTAGTAGTGGTTTATGGTCGACCGCAATTATGAGGTCTGAGCAGCATTGGACGAAGTATCTAGCCTTATTGCAAACCTTACAGCAGAATGAGCCGTCTTTTGCGTTACAGAGAGAATTAAAAACGGCATTTCCTTTATTGAATCGCTCCGTCTGTGATGGTCTTCTGTCATTAGGCGTGTCTTTACTACTGCACATGGTTCCAAAGTGGTTGTCTCGATGGCAGCGCTCACATTTGTGACCAAAGGCTGTGCACTGGTTTCTGCGGATGCGTGTGGCGCTTTTCGTGCCATGGCCGCGCTTGCCATAGTACGAGCATGGGCCCCGTTTATCCTCATCCAGTGGGTACTTGGTTCTCTGATAAGATGAACGTGCAGCTTCCACTGAAAAGGTGTTTAGTGGTCTTGAGGCTGATCTTTTCCCAGCTTCTTTCGCTTTAATGAACTGGAATACCTCCTCCAATGACACATCCTGATTTTTATCTCCTAAGAGGTCTAATTGGATGTCAGAATCGGCAATTCCTCGGCTTAATATGTCACGCCCAAAGGCATCGGTGTAATTCACGTTATACTTGCAACTAGGGCACGTGATGACGAACCTGCAGATATCTGCCTGTTCACGTTGGCGGGCACCAAAGCGTCGCACCGGTTCGTCTCGATCCTGTCGCATGTTGTGCAGTGTTACCCTTGCTACCATTGTGTTTTCCTCGCGAACAGCTAGTTTCCGAATGGCACACATGACTACATCTATGGTTTTTTCTGTAAGGTTGCCACCTTGTTGCGGACTGGCGAATGTATTTTGAGTGATCAGAAGGATTTTTAGTGTTGGTGTTCTAAAAACATTCGTCCACAACAATTAAACAAGAATATTAGAAACAAATCATGACGTATTGTTTCAAAACGTAACAATTGAATTTTATTAAGTATTTGATATACATGCATGTTAACTGAAAGGTTTTGACAGAGTTATGTCTCTTAGATTTGGAAATATTTGTACAATAGCTCATAAAGAAAAAAGTAATTATTAAACTGTAGTTTAGAAGAATAAAGTTCCTTTAGCATGTTTGGAATTGTGAATTGTAAACCTTCGTAAGAGTTCAGAAGAGATTTTAGAGTTCGTACTTGCGTGAATTGTTGTAAAGTTCTTTAACGTCTGACCACAAAGGTTAAGACGGGAGTTTTTGAAGATTACATCTTGGCAGCAAGGAAAGAGACGCAAGAGAGAGTAAGAAGAAGTTGAAGAGAGAGAATCACTCGTTTTTGTTTATATATGATCGGGTATCACATGACCGGCTCAGATGGAGAACGCGGGAAAACAGATTTGTCGCGTGCAGGCGGTTTGATTGGTTGGAACTGACCAATCAGCGAGCTAGTTTGAAGTAGATTAACCAATGAATGCTTGTCATATATTTACTTACAGGGAATAGTTTATTTACCCACGCAGGGGTGACTGGCTGATGTGAGAGTGAGATCTCTGCGCAGTGGTTCATCGAGAAGTTGAATCACCACTTCGCGCCCTGATACCTTTGTGGCTGCCACATAGTCGATCCAGCGTGATTGAAAGTAGGCCCAGTCCTCGCTAGAACCAGCGGCGGTTAGAGTTGGCCGTTTGACTTTCTCAACAGAAGTACCAGTAGTGTGAACGGCACCATGGGTTGTTATGAGTGCGGCAACAATAGCTGCGTCGAGATCTGGTGTGGTGTAGTCGCAATTAAGGAAGGGGCACTGTATTGCAGGCATGGCGATTCAACCTTGATGTTTTCTCCAGAGAAATCTTGCTCATAAATGTTGTGGAGTTATTTCGCAGTGGAAGCTTGTATTTGTACTAAATCGGTCCTAAATAAGTTCGACGTACAAAACGTTAGGAAATTGATATAATAGGTATTACGCAGAGTAATCTTGTTGTGGTCGCTGACTACTTTCGTATTCGACTAATTGTCAACTACTGTCGTCCGACATCGACTGAATATTCAGTCACCCCCCCCCCACTGGGGCATCATGTGACACAAGGTCGGTTATTTATTGTGAGTTCTCCGAGCCCGTGGACTCGGCCAAAAATATGCCCATTGAACCCGTATAAATGGGTTCAGGGTCGGTTTACATCCCCGAAAGAGAATCCGCCCTTCGGCGTAGCCTCGTTCGGGTTCCTCCCCGCCCGAAGGCAGAGGGTTCAACCGTTCAGCCGGTCGTCCGAGATCGACTGACCCTCGTTTCTCTTACTACTCCTACTTATATTAGGTGGGAGAGTCTATTAACTATAGAATAGGTGTGTTTCACCATAACAATAAATAAGAATGGAATCTATTTGTTTTGTAAACGTTTATTTTCTACTGACAATGAACAAGACCTGAAAGAGGTAGAAACGCAATAGTAAGAATTACATCAAACATAGTAATCCTCTGGTAAGAGAGAGACATAAAAATAGTAAGAATTACATGAAACATGGTAATCCTATAGAAATATGAAAAAATTAGAAAAGTAATTTTAGACGAGAGAGAGTGCGTGATTTGAAAATAACCACCGCTCGTAGGGTTAATTTATTTATTTTCACTTTTTAGTTTTTATTTTACAGCAATATTTCAAAAAATGTAATGACATATGGTAAAAAAAATCATTAAAAGAAAAAAAAGGATACACCGATTTGTTTTTTTGTTTTTTTTTAAAAAAACGTTTATTGTTTGTTTAGTTTAAAAAACTTTAAAATAAATGTTTGTTTACACTTGTGGTTTTTTTCTGAGCAGTAAATAAATAATAATTAATAAATAAAATAAAAACTAAAAACACTATTATTAATGATGCCGTAAAAGCACAAGTCTCATCGTCAATTATAAAGGTTGATTATTAATTTCTGCTTTTCAAAAACAAATAAAACTTGAAAATTAAAAATTTTAAATCTATTTTCAAATTTCAAAACTAAAATCTCGATGTCTTGCTTCTATTCCCTCCGCCAAAATAGTAATTTCTCCTTTCCCAAATATTGATTTAAAAAGAAACTTAAGAGACACTTTTTACAAGAAATTTGAATCTAGCTGATAACTCTATAATTAAGTTTATAATTAATAACTATGTAATGGTCCAGTGAGTAGATTGACCAATACTATGTATATTATTAAATTACTTACAAAGTACAGGATTCAAGTAAACAACAAAACTCCAAATGTGAATCAACGAGTATATATTGAAAATAACATACAAAAACAAACATGCAATATAAAATTGTACTCAATGTATAGAATATTAAGGGAAAGAAGTTGTTCCCCTTTAATTGTATTTTGGTTTGTAATTGATTGTTCGAAGAAAGTCCTCGTGAGAGAAAAATGTTCAGGAATAAAATGTTCAGACGAATAAAATGTGAGCGTGGAAAAACATAGCAATCGCTACAACTAACAATAACATTACGATTGATTGATTAGTTTTATTGTTTGACGTTGTTGCTTTTTTTTTTTTTGTAAAAAGGGTGTTGGGGACGTGTAGAATTTATTAATTACTAGCAGTAGAGCCCGGCGTTGCCCGGGGATGTAACAGTAAGAGATAGATCAAGTATCGACCAACATAAAGACTGAAAAATAAAATTGACAAAGATTATTGTTTAAGGTTGACGGATATGCATGTCTTAATTAGTTTTTTTTTTTTATGAATTGGTCAAACCCAAACTCAAACAAAAACATTGTTTTCAATCGTTATGGAGTCTACCGATTGAATAGAATTTTATTATAAACAATTGTCTTGTAAATGGATTTTTTAAAGCATTCTGAATGTAAAAATAAAGAAAAAAGTGTGCAAGACAATAAGAAACACTACCTGCCAAAAAAAAGTGAAGTTTTGTTGAAATCGGTTGAAAAATGTAGGAAATCCGATCTAATATATAAACGTACAGACACACACACACACACACACACACACACACAACCTGGGTTTTATAATAAGTATGATGCTTGAAAGAATCTGAAGGAATTTGTGTAGGTTGTGTGACTTTCTGCATCCACAACAAATAAATAAAAAGAAATTTAAAATACGATTAAGAACGAGACATATTCAATTAGAAATTAATATAACATTTATACAATTCAAAGCAATATACAAACAGAATAATTGATATATGTTATGTTGGCGAAATGTGTCTGAGGTTTTTTGATTTCAGAATGTCTCTCTTTGTAATTGTTCGTTCATTTACAGTCTTTTTAAGTTTGTGTTGATATTAATAATTGTCGATATTAAGTGTCTTTTTTTAGAAGGAGTTTTTAAGAGTAATCTACCTTTAACTGTAGTGTAATGTTTTTTAAGGTCGTTCGCACGTTGATGTTTACTTAATAGGTAGCGAATATGACTCACTTTCGATAAGCAATGTTGAGAATTGATATCCACAGAGTTGATTAAGTTTTCGATCGGGAATGGGTCAGCGATGATGTATCTTTACGCAGTAAATCGTGATTTCGAGTGACGTGGAGTATTTTGGCAAGTTCTCCGTGGGTGTTTGTTACTGACTGCCTGGGGCGGTCAGCGTTTATTTTTATAAGGTCTGAAAGTCCGAAGGTGGCTCACTTGAGTTTTGGCGCAATTTCATTCTGCACGTGAACTTTCAGTGATAAACAAATGAGATTGTTTGTTTCGCTTAGTGCAGTTTTAATTGGTTAGGAAAAAAGGTAAGGAAAAAAAGGAGAGTCTACAAGGGACTATTTCTCGTTTGGTTTTACTTTCTTCAAAAAGTCTGGAGACCTGATCTATGAGTCGATATTTATTTATTTACCCAATCGACATCCCATGAGATGGGATGTTGCACAAGGCCGGTTTTTTATGTTGGGCGTTCCGAGCCTGTAGTCTCGGGCAAAAATTCGCTGTAGACATCGAAATAACGGGGTCAGGTAGCTGTCTACCTCCTCAGACAAGAGTCTGCCCTTCAGCACAGCAGAGAGGTTGACAAGCAGTGTAGGTTTGGAATACTCTAATCTATCCTAATATCTCCTTACGAGATGGTACTCTAAAAGCGTTCAATCAGGCAAGGGAACCCCTGCCAATTTCGCCAAACTCACATACATCTCCGATGACAACTCAGTCATTACATCAACTACAGATGCATTGGGAGATTTAGTTGGGGCTGTCCTACACCAAAAACAGCAAAATCTTAAGAAGCCACTGTCTTTCCTTTCAGTAAAGCTGAACTCTGCACAAAAAAATATAGCACTTTCTCTCACAAGCTTCTCACAATTTACCTGTTGATCAGGCATTTCCGATGCCTCCTTTATTGTGTACACAGTATACTGACCATAAAACTGATTTATTCCCTTCATTAAGGCTGACATATATAATCCACGTGATATTCAACATTTAGATTATATCATGCAGTTTATATCCGATATCAGTTATATAAAGGTGAATAACAACATTGTTGCTGTCACTCTTTCAAGGTCAACTTTAAATGCAATCAACTCGCAACCTCTAAATTTCAATTATCTCGCCAAGCAGCAACAAAAGAATACAATGCTGGAAGTGGTAATGAAAGACACGTCACTACACTTTGAGCAGCGACCCTAAGTCCCTATACTGTGATGTCACCACAGGTCATCCCAGACCTTATGTTCCTCCGACAATGCGGAAGAGAATTTTCAACCACTTTCACTCCCTTTCACAACACAGTTGTAGAGCAACAGCAAGACTCATTGACTCATTTCA